GAAAAACGAAAATCCGGATTCCTCGCAAAATCAAATTTTAAACAGAATTTGTATCCTGACAAAAATCAGTCGGTCTACCATTTATCGGGTTATAAAAAGGGGAGATGTAGTCAACCATTCCTTCCACAGAAAGCGCATAGGGCAAAAATTAAAAAGAATAGACGTGGGTTTTCAGGAAGATATTCGTCGTATAATATACGGATTTTATGAAGAAAATTTGGTGCCCACGTTGGAAATGATACGGGATAAATTAAAAGATTATCCTGAAGATTTTTATAATTACAAATGCTTAGACTCACTGCACTGTATTGTAAAACTGTGTGGTTTTCAATACAAAAAATTAGATAAAAGAATGGTGATAATGGAGTCGTCTCGAATCGTTGAATTGCGCCAAGAATTTTTGCACAAAGTTAAAATCTATAGAGAGCAGAAAAGAGATCTGATTTACCTGGATGAAACGTGGTATGATACCCATGATGTTGTGCAGTACGGCTGGGTTGACGACAGCAACAAGTGCATTTTAAATGCACCATGCAACCGTGGAAAACGAATCATTATTCTCCATGCTGGCAGTGAAAATGGATTTATACCTAATGCCTTGCTGTTATCTGCCAAAAATATCAAAGAATCATGTGCCGACTATCATGAGGACATGACCTCCGACTTATTTGAAAAGTGGATAGAGCAGCAGTTAATACCAAACATTTCCCCAAATTCAGTGATTATTATGGACAATGCGCCATACCATTCCCGACAGAAAAACAAAATTCTGAATACAGGCACAAAAAAACAAGACATTATTGATTTTATGAAGGATAAGGGAATGGAAATACCACAAAAATCAACCAAAGCCATATTATTGGATCTTATTAAAAGACAAAAATTTGAAAAAGAGTATGTTGTTGACAATCTGCTTCAGCAAAATGGCCATGAAGTATTACGTCTACCTCCCTATTACTGCATTTTTAACCCGATTGAGTTGGTCTGGGCTGCTTTAAAAAAAAGTAAGAAAACATAATCAGACCCCTCAATTAAGTGAATCGCTATTGGCCACAATAAGAGATGCAGTATCTCATATTGCTGCCACAGACCTATGGAAGCAGTGTTCTAGGCATATTATTGAAAAAGAAAATGAATATTGTGTTTTGCCTCCTGTAAATCCCGTTGTAATTCCTCTACAAGATGACTCTAGCGACAGCTCCGAAGGCGAGGATGATATATAAATACCTATAATGTAAGTCTTTATATACCTTTTTATATACCTTCTGCTATGTAAATATTTGTCTATGTCAAACGTTGGAATTCTGTAATTTTTCCATTTCTTAACTTTCAGTCAACATAAATTAAACTCCCAATATAAGTATTTTTTATCCCAAATCAAAAAAATAAAAGATAGTAAAGTCCATTTATTGTGATATAAAAACATTATTATTATCGTTCTAAATAAATGACCGCGCGCCTATGATACGTCATGAAATTACAAAGGACGCGCCGACCAAAGGTTTTTATGCTATTTCAAGTGACTTCAGATAAAGTATACATATACAAAGATTGGACCTGGCTAATGGGACGCAACGTCCTAGTGCCAAAAAAAAAAGTATCTAAAGAGATGACAAGATGTGAGACCCTCGTGGTAAGAATTCGGTTCCGCTCCCTAAAACTGCGCACATGAAAATCGTGAAAAGCACGTGTGAGGTTGAAAATTTATGAAAAAAATTGTGAAATTCATGCACCCGGATCTGTCCACAACCTCCAAAATATAGCTTAATTCATTAATTTGGCAAACAAATCACAATCAGAACATCAATCAAAGCCGATACAATTCTCACGTTACATTACAACATATTCTACTTAATTAATGTCCGCATAAGTAATGCAAATTTAAGTATATAATGAATGAGGCTTTCATTCAGAACTATTTATGTGATTTAATATATAACTTCCAACACGTACGGATTGTATTACCAATTATTAATTCTATGGGCATCGATCAGTCGAATGTAATACACGTAGGCGTTAGAATTCTAATTACTGTACACCTTCGCAACGAAACACGGTCACAAAAGTAAAAAATAGTGGACCAGAAAAGTGCTAATTCATACTACACCCATTACGCATTCCATTTTCACGGCATCAAAACTAACAAACATTTTTGATCGCAAAACAAGATACATGCTATACAGTGCTTCCCTTTCATATCCCCATGCTTACGAGAAAAGAGAGAAACATGTTAGAAAGAGTGCGCCGTATAGGCATCCTCACAACGTTAGCTGGCAACCGCGCCCTTCCCCATCGTCGCTGCCAGACAACGTGGTGACGACGCTTATACAGTGTGAGTCTTCATAAAGTGCACATATCAAAATCAGGGAAACTACACTCTATTTCATCGACGGATAAATCATCAAAAAAAAATTAAAAACAATAATTAATTTTTTATGAATATTTTAAAATTTTTAGAGTCAGCTGCTAACCCTATTTAAATAAATCGTTACAACTTTTAAACTGAATGTCCTATCATATTGGAATAAATTTTGTAGTGATTGCAAATAACAGGTCGTACCAGTAAAGAAAAAATTTCCACGAAATTAAATGCTATAAATTTGAAATAAAGAGGAATACGCTGAAACTCACTATTTTTTCAATGATTTTTAAAACAATTGCTAAATTTCAATGAAAATTGTCCTATTTACCCTACCTTTTTTAAATGTTAAGTTATTCTACATGTTATTAGCTTCCTAATGGTGAAAAATTGCAAGTTTATTACTTAGATACAAGTTTTTAAATCAGCGTTCCAAAAAGCAGTGAACTCAGTTCAACGCCAGAGTAGGAATAAAACAACAGTATTAACCTACATGAATCATTCATTATCTTTAACAAATAAAATCAAATAGACTTGTCTATAGGATAATCATTTTGGCTTAATGCATCAAACGTTCAAAATGGCCACCCCGTTGCTGCAAACACATTGTAGCGCGAAGTGAAATTTGATGAGTTGCCCTACGAATCATCTCGGGATCATTTTTGATTTCGTTTGCAACACGCAAAACTCTTTCTTCAAGTTCCGCTTCGCTGTTTATGGAACTGCTGTACACCCTTTGTTTCATTGTCCCCCATAAAAAATAGTCGACAGGTGTGAGATCTGGGGAACGCGCCGGTTACCAAACAGGTCCTTGTCGACCGATCCAGCGGCCTGGATAATTTTCATTAAGAAAAGACCTGACAATCAGCGAGTAATGGGCAGGACATCCATCCATTTGAAGCATCATTCTTCGACGGGTTTGCAGCGGCACTTCTTCCAACAGCAAGGGCAGTTCAGTCCGCAAAAGCTCCAGAAATCTCTCTCCGTTTAAAGTCCTCGGGAGTATTATTGGACCAATCAAAAAGTTGTCAATCAGTGCGGCCCACACATTTACAGAAAATTTCACTTGAAATGTTGAAGCCCTTTTCAGCCTAGGGTTTTCATCTTTTGGGCACCACTTATGTAAATTACGACAGTTCACGATGCCGTCTCTCGTGAATTGAGATTCATCTGTCCACAGAATTGTTTTCGGGAATTCAGGATTGTCTCTTGTTCTTATTAAAATCCATGTAGACATAACGCACCTTGGACGCCAATCCACATCTTCATGCAAGTGCTGCACCCTTTGATAATGGTATGGATGCGACCCTGCTTTCCTCAAGATGCGCCAAGCCGATTTCTGGGATACGCCATGACGTAACGCCAAACGTCTCGTACTAGTAGTCGGGTCAGCAAACAAATCATCCAAAATGGCTTCTTCGATAGCAACATGAATAATAACACCTGGTTCGCGGCGATCTCGAGGCAAACCAAGTCCAGTGTTAGCCGGTCTTCTATGTACTTCTTGGAAGTTACGGGCTGATGGAACAGGGCGTCGATTTGGAAATGCAGCTAGATAAGCTGTGCAAGCAGCTCTAGCACTCCCTCGGTACATTCCATAATAATAATGGATATCGGCAATGTGTGCCGGAGGGAAATCACTTATACGTGGCATTGCGACCAAAAAGCGAAAGCGTGATATGTAGCAAACGAAACTGATAAAATTGGCAGGAGAAACACAAATAACTGCCTAACTGCCCAACATTCAATTGTTTTTCAACTGGGCCCACCTCCCCACTCGTACTTCAGCCCGCACGACTCTACATTGAATCACCAAAAAAAGGTATCTACATGATAAACAATGGTGCCTAGCAAGACGATGCGCATGGGCTTTTTTATAAACACTCATAGAAACTGTTACATTTGAGTAATAAACTTCCATTTTTTACTTTTATAAAGCTGATAACATGTAGAATAACTTACAAATAAAAAAAGGTACAAGGGACGATATTTATACAGAATTTGAAATTATTTTAAAAATGATGAAAAAAAAACAGATTTTCATCAAAATTTTCTTTATTCTAAATGGATGTCATTACTTTTCCTGGAATTCTTCACTTTTCAGGCACGTCCTTTTCCAGCAATCACTACAAAATGTATTCCAATATGATAGGACATTTAGTTTAAAAGTTGTAACGAGTTATTTCAATATGGTTAGAAGCTGCTACTAAAAATTTTAAAATATTCATATATTCATAAAAAATCAAATTCATGTTTTTTTTTGATGATTTATCCGTCGATGAAATAGAGTGCAGTTTCCCTGATTTTGATTTTGAACTTTATGAAGACTCACACTGTATGTGGCACCACTCTTACTAACACGATTCTCTTGCTCCTCTCCCTTTGGCCAGCACTGTATACACGTAGTTTAGTTTCGAGCAATACAATCTGGCTTAGTAAACAAAAAATCCCTCTAATATTGAGTAAATTTATTTGGCAACCGATCGATGATGAAGCGGAACAGTAGCAGGACATAGGTGAGCACAGTGTTCTCGCACTTAACAATGTTGTTTTCCGGATCCACAATTCATTTTGGAAGCTAAATACGGCTTTTAATTTGCATATGGAAATAAAACAACACGGTAGGTAGTTTTAAATGACTTTATTGTTTTTTGAAGTATTCTCCACGAAGATTAATACACATGCGCTCGAACCAATTTTCGAAGCACTTATTCCAGTGGTTTGCTAGCAGATCCAAAACGGCATTTTTGAATGCGTCAACTGCTTCGCCTGGTGACTGGAACCTTTGACCACGCAGTCTGTTTTTAATTTTCGGGAAAGTAAAGACATCGTTATTACTTAGGCCCGTATCGTCAGTCGTCCCTACAATTGTAGGGCGCGTTTATGGCCTCCTTGATTGTCATACTTCTTTCTCTCCTTCAAAAATTTCTAGATTACACTTGTCCCATGTCAGCGTCAGCCCTCTCCTATTGTGAAGATATATTTTCTTTTTAAATTGTAGGAAATTTCAGGCTGATAAAACATGATATAACTCAAAAGCAAGCACAATTTGATGCAAATAGATGTTTGTGACATAACCTCAAAATAGAGTTCTGACACGGAGAAGTACAAAAGTATGACAATCAAGGAGGCCATAAAGGCGCCCTACAATTGTAGGGACGACTGACGATACGGGCCTAAAACACATCCCTCATAATATAGTGTTGAAATGATGCCGTGATAATAGGTTTACACATAAAATGCAAATGAGGGGGCACAAACCTAATGCAAACTGTCAAGACAGCAGACATTTATTATTTTTTTAGATAAAATACCCAATAACCTAATAGCTAATAAGCAAAACCCAATATTCTTCTCTTAAAAGAGTATATCCGAGTGTGTCATAAAAAGTACGGCCTTCCATTTAAAACAAGTATTTTTTGAGGTGGGGCAAAATTGGGACACTCTGAATATTTGTGAGTATTTAATGATGTGCCCTCCCGATACCATGAATAATAACCCATAAATAGTTATCTTCGATAACACTGATCAACAGCCAAAAAATATCCTAAATAAAATCAACAACATATTACTATTTTTAATGTGCTAAAACCGGAATGAAACTTATTTTTTCAATATGAGTTCAAGTTTTAGAGATACGGTAATTATATGTGTTCCTGCTGTGACAGTGTTAATATACTGTAATTCACAAGAATGCACGTGCTACATTTTTATATTCGGCAAGAAAAGATGATGTAATCGGCATGATTGTGTTACGTTATACATACGTGTACATTATATTGTTTTATATTAGCCATTTTTTCCTCAGTTGGCTGACAGCGTTCATGCAAGATGTCTCGAAAGTGTGTAAACAATCCAGATCAGTTTTGTTACGTGTGTGGTGATGTGACTTTTGCGTCTCAGAGACGGTCTATTACTCCACTAATAACAAAGGCATATCAGCTTTATTTCGGTTGTAAACTAGGTGATCAAGACAAACAGTGGGCACCCCACATCTGCTGTAATACATGTGCTTCAAGTCTGAGGAGCTGGTTAAATGGCAAAAAACGGTCTATGCGCTTTGCTGTCCCAATGGTTTGGAGAGAGCCTACAAATCATATTAATGATTGTTACTTTTGCATGGTACCTTGTGTTGGACAAGTCACAGGTATGTCCATGAAAAAAAAAATTGGTTATTAACTACCCAAACATACCATCTGCGATGAGACCTGTGCCTCACAGTGACGAAAATCCTATTACAAAACCCCCAGAATCCTACACTTGTGAATCAGAAAACGAATCAGATCATGGCGATCGAGTGATTCGTCAGGAAGAAGATATGCCATCAACGTCAAGAGATCCTGATTTTATACCGAGCACGTCATGCCACCAACCGCACAAAATAACACAGTCAGAATTAAATGATCTTGTAAGAGATTTAGAACTTCCAAAATGTAAGGCAGAGTTACTTGGATCAAGACTGCAGCAGTGGAACTTGTTAGAAGACGATGTTTCGGTATGTGTTTTTCGTAAACGCCACAAAGACTTAGAACCATTTTTCAATATGGAGAATAACTTGGTTTTCTGCAGTAACATTAACGGCTTACTGGCGGCTTTAAATATAAACTATAACCCAGAAGAATGGAGATTGTTTATAGACAGTTCAACATTGAGTTTAAAGGCAGTGTTATTGCATATTGGAAATATTTTACCATCTCTTCCTGTGGGGTATGCAGTTCACATGAAAGAATCATATGACAATATGAAGTACCTATTGACATGCATAAAATACGATGAGCACCAATGGCATATTTGTGGCGATTTGAAAGTTGTTGCACTTTTACTTGGGCTGCAGCTAGGCTACACAAAGTTTTGCTGTTTTTTGTGTGAATGGGACAGTCGGGCAACGGCACTTCATTACACCAGACAAAACTGGCCTGTTCATCAATTCCTAGAGCCAGGTCAAAAAAATGTACAGCATATGCCATTAGTAGATTCGAAAAAAATTTTCTTTCTTTCTTCCACTGCAGATCAAGTTGGGCCTAATGAAAAACTTTGTCAAGGCATTAGATAGAGATGGGTCAGCTTTTCAATACCTGCGTCAGAAATTTCCAAGACTAAGTGAGGCAAAGGTTAAAGAAGGTATTTTTGTTGGGCCACAGATTCGAAATATTTTGAAAGATACACAGTTTGAAAACCCTTTAACAGGTATTGAAAAACCTGCTTGGAATGATTTCCGTCTGGTGGTCACAAATTTCTTGGGAAATAGAAAAGCTGACAACTATAAAACCCTTGTCAAAAATATGCTGTCATCGTATCAAAAGATGGGCTGTAATATGTCTCTTAAGATACATTTCCTACACTCACACCTGGACTTTTTTCCTGACAATTGCGGAGCCGTAAGTGATGAGCACGGCGAACGTTTCATCAGGATATTTCAACAATGGAAAAAAGGTACCAGGGAAAGTGGAATCCTTCCATGCTTGCAGACTACTGTTGGACTCTTCGTAGAGATACTCCAGAAACGATCCATAAAAGAACAGCAAAAAGACAGCGCATATAGTGATTCTTATAAGTATATGAATCTTGTTACTTTTTTTAATATATCCTTAAAAATAAAAAGTTTTTTTTCTAAACCGCAACTAATTTTTTTATTTCATTGTCATTTTTGGATTCAGCGCCCCAAAATTAACAAAGAAGTGCACTTTTCCCACAAGATACAATTAAAAAACTAAAATTTGTTGTCCAGTGTAACTTTTAATTTAGGAGCAATACTCCGTTCTCTCAGCGACTCATTGCTTATAACTCGATAATCACACTGCACACTTGTCAGAAAAAGGTATAGCAAAATGAAATGCCCGTTATAAGGAGATACCCTATCGCTCTCAAGTTGAATGATAAGTGCTAGTGTCACTGTTCGGTTGCAAATCTGTACACCGTAGTATACGTTTGGGACAGCAGCTGGCTGGAGAAACATAACACTCCAAGTTATTAAAGTAAACCCGGTTTGATATCGAGAATATCAAATAACAAAGTTTCGCTGCGGTAACTTCCTAACAAGTTCCACCTTGCGCGAATGTAATACATGTGACAGATTCCGCGTAGTTGAATAACTTACCATAACATGATACGTACCATAGAGATACTGAAATCGAATATACTTGGTTCCAAGACATGCACGGATTTTAGGTATTAAAAATTAGCATTCGACGGAAAGAAATATTGCTTTCAACTATTAAAGTATATTTTTTCACCACAATGTTTTTCCTCCACCAATTTACTTATTTTCAAAGTGTTAACACAGGCATGGAACATATACTAAGTGACATATAAATCCGAACACCCAGTTTAAATGGTTTTATTTTAATAAACGTTGGTGAATGTATTTATCTTACTGTAAATAACAAGTGAAAAATGTTCAGCCTTATCAGTTGGACATTCCGGTTTTTATACTGCTTTTTTTTAATTCAATAACGCTCTAAAAATGAATATTTCAGCCGCAGTAAAGAATCAACGTTGGCGGATTTTGGTTCTTGACATCCTTTACGATCGGTTACGATGCCTAGAGTACGGAGACCTGTACGATTTCGTCAACTTAGTGAGTTTGATAGCGGCCGTATAGTGGGACTTCGGGAAGCTGGACTTTCTTTTCGGGCAATTGCAGTTAGAGTGCAAAGAAGTGTAGACACTGTGGTTAGGTGTTGTCAGGCATGGCTTCGAGAAGGCCGTACGCAAAGAGCAAGGAGCACTGGACGCCGCTGTAGAACAACAGACCGTGAAGATCGCCGCCTAAGATTATTGGCCTTAAGGGACCGTTTCTCCACTACCAGGTCCATTGCAAATGAATGGTTTGCAGAACACGGAAGACCTATTGGCCTGCGAAGTGTTTACCGACGAATAAGAAGTTTTGGCTTTTTTTCATACCGGCCACACTGGGTCCTCCCTTTAACTCGAGAACACCGACGTAATCGCCTTGAGTGGTGCAGACAACGGTCACTCTGGGATCAGGAATGGAACAGTATTGTCTTTAGTGATGAATCTCGATTTTGTTTAGGCATGCACGATGGTCGTGCCAGGGTTAGAAGGCGACGTAGTGAAAGGAGGAATCCACAGTTTTTTGTTGAAAGACATGTTCATCACACTGTTGGAGTTATGGTTTGGGGTGCTATAGCTTATGGTTCCAGGTCACCTTTAATCTTTATCAGAGGTAACATGAACGCGCAGCGTTATATCCACGAAGTTCTAGAACCCCATCATTTACCCTATCTTGACACCCTGGCAGATCCAACTTTCCAACAAGATAATGCCCGACCACATGTTGTAAGAGTCACAATAGACTTCTTTCAACATAATGATGTCACATTGTTACCATGGTCACCAAGATCTCCCGACTTATCCCCAATTGAGCACGTGTGGGATATGATGGTTAGGAGATTGCTCAATTTGCAACGTCCTCCTCAGACTCTAGAAGCACTTCGAGAGGAGTTGGTGGTTGCCTGGAATGAGATACCACAGGAGGACATTGACCACCTGATCAGAAGCATGCCTAGGCGCGTTGGAGAATGCGTAGCACATCAGGGTGCATCCACACATTATTAAAGGTCAAAGGGCTTTAAAGCAGTGCAATCATTTTGAAATGTTTATCATTTACTTATTATGCTTCATTAAGTACTTATACAAAATTTTATTAAAATAAAACCATTTAAACTGGATGTTCGGATTTATATGTCACTTAATATAGTTCTTCTTAGAATCACGTCGCTTTATCTACTTATCATATTTCTTATACGAAATTTTCGAAGAACCTTTCTTCTTGCGTCATAACTGCTACACCTGCGGTTCTTACAAGCGTCGTTGAGATTTGTTCACCGCCACCTAAAAACTCTAATCTTTGATAGCTGATCATTTGTTGAATAATCAATATTATAACATACATTTTTGTTGCAGGATTACTACCCAGATTTGATAGCGAACGACTCTATAGCCTTCCTGCGCCACTCTAAAAAGCAGTACCAACACAAGCCGGTTATGCTGACCATGTCATTCCCAGCACCGCATGGTCCTGAAGACTCAGCACCGCAGTACTCGCATTTATTCTTCAACGTTACTACTCATCAGTAAGTACAATTTATTCTCCGTCAGCAGTGAACAATTATTAAAGTGTTAATTTTATGGACTTTTCGATCCTTTTTGGATGCACTCTTTTGGAGTACACGCTTTTTTGAAAATTGATAATTCATTTAGAAAGTTTTGAAACAAATTCTATGAACAGTAACTTTTTGTAAATTACATGTATCGCCTATTTGCGGTTTCAAGTGTAGAGCGAAGAACCTTGGGAATATCGAAATCGGTAAGAGACACGAAGTCGTTTAAATGTGGGCAAAAATGCGCATTTAGGTAGCTAAGCAAATAACAGAAAGTTTAATGATATAGATAAAAAAAACAAATTTTCTCAAAATCTTTTTTTATTTTTTAAACGACTTTATTCAAAGTGGTATTCTGAAATAAAATACTTATTAACATTGCTACTTCTTCTCCTCTACAAGGTGGCATAGTAAGAATTTCAATGTGATGTTTCGTTTCTTGCCCTGAATCATGAACTTTATTTTTTCAAAAGGAGCAACATTCCAAGAAAAATGGGGGATGTTCAGTAGATGATAATGGCAAACTACCTACTGGTTTAAAGACCCGTCAAAAAAATCGCAGAGCTAGGGCCGGAAATCCTTATACACCCCCTGTACTTTCCTGATCTAGCACCCTCTGACTATCACCTATTGATGTCGTTACAAGATTTTCTGTAGGGTAAGCGAAGACGATATCCAAGAAGCCCTGAATCAATTTTTTTCACCTTCAGATAAAACGTCTTATAAAAATTGAGATATACAGATCACCACCACGTCATAAACGTAGTTAAATTACAATTCCAAAAACAAAGAATTATAAATTAATTTCTGATTATAGAGCAGTGTCTATCTTTAACAATTTTGCGAAACTCTTGGAGATCATATTGTATAACCGAATACATCTGTCCGTGAAAGACCATATTTCGATCCATCAACTTGGTTTTATGAGGCAACGCTCAACTTTAACCAATCTAATGGAGTTCAGTCAATACTTATGTCAAAGATTGGATAACAGAGGCCAGATTGACGTGGTATACACGGATTTTTCTACAGCCTTTGATAAGGTTAACCATAATATATTGATTAGTAAGCTACGATTCTTAGGTTTTAATAGTACTTATATTGCGATTTTGACGTCCTACCTTTCTGAAAGAAAACACTATGTTTTCTACAGGGTGGGGCAAAAGTCACGAAGGGATTTGAAAAATTAATAACTTTTTTAAATTTATTTTGTTTTCATTTTTTTTTTCAGGACCGTGTAAAATAAATCCTGGAGATTAATTATGGAGCGTTACAACCTCAATCAACGAACCAAACTTATAGAATTTTATTTTGAATATCACCATTCAATAATTCAAACTCAACGAGCATATCGTCCTTATTTCAATTTGCGGAATTCGCCCTCTGAATCAATGATTCGACGCTTAGTGGCACGATTTCAGCAACAAGGCACAGTTATGGATCTCCCACGAAGCGGAAGGCCACGTTCCGCAAGAAATGAAGGGAACATTCAACGCGTTCAGGAGAGTGTTCAGGAGAATCCGGAAACCTCAACCCGAAGACGTTCTGCTGAGCTGCAGATGTCTCAAAGGTCTTTACGCAGAATATTAAGAGGAAATTTACATCTGTTTCCATATAAAGTGCAGCTAGTGCAAGAACTAAAACCAGCAGATTTTCAAGAACGACTAACTTATGCAGTTCGCTTGCAAAGAATGGCTCGAGAAGATAATGAATTTATTCATTCTCTGATCATGAGCGATGAAGCCCATTTTCATTTGAATGGCTTCGTAAATAAGCAGAACTGCAGAATATGGGGTACCGAGAACCCAAGGGTGGTTCATCAAAGGCAATTACATCCGCTTAAATGTACAGTATGGTGCGCAGTTACGTCTCAACGAATTATTGGACCATTCTTCTTCGAAGACCACGATGAGAATGCTGTATCTGTAGATGGCGACCGATATCGTGATATGATTCAAAATTTCTTAAGACCAGCTCTTGCTGACAATCAAACGATGACTTTCCAACAAGATGGAGCCACTGCGCATACTGCTCGAGCCACTATGCACCTTCTAAGGCAGATTTTTGGCGAACGTTTAATTTCGAGAAATTCAGGATTCAATTGGCCCGCCCGCTCGCCGGACTTAACAGCCCCTGATTATTTCCTTTGGGGATATCTGAAAGGAAAAGTGTATATTAATAAACCCACAACCCTGCAGCAACTAAAAGATAATATTCGAGCAGAAGTAAGTGCTTTGGGGCCAGATATTCTGACTCGGGTAATGGAAAATGCTCTTGCAAGAGCTGCACTTTGCGAGGCTGAAAATGGCGGTCATTTGCGTGATGTAATCTTTCACACTTAAATTGTAAACAAACTCCAAACATTGCATTTTAGTTTTGTGTTAGGGAAAAAATTAAAATTAAAATTTAAAAAAGTTATTAATTTTTCAAATCCCTTCGCGACTTTTGCCCCACCCTGTACAATGGATACTATTCGAATGTTTACATTTCTACCAGCGGTGTTCCTCAAGGCTCTAACTTAGGACCCCTACTGGTCATTCTTTTTGTTAATGATTTATGTATCTCTTTGGACTGTCTGAAGTTGATGTTTGCTGATGATTTAAAGTTTTTCTCTACTATTTCCTCGATAGAGGATTGTGTTGTGTTGCAAGAACAAATCAACATTGCACTGAGATGGTGTGAAAATAACAACCTTTTTCTAAATATTTCTAAATGTAAAGTACTCACTTTTTCTAGACAGACTAATCCTATATTTTACTACACAATGGAGGACTCTGTCTTGGAGCGTTGTGAAACTGTGAGAGATTTAGGTGTCTACTTTGACGAGGAACTCACCTTCAATTATCATATAAACCAAATAATTTCTAGTGTATCGAAAACGTATGGCTTCAAAATCAGAAACTGTAGGAACTTCGACAATATCTGTACATTGAAATCTTTGATTTTCAGCCTGATAAGGTCAAAACTTGAATATGGATCTCTTATATGGAGCCCTATTTATAAACAATATGTTGATTCTGTTGATAAAATTCAGAAAAAATTTTTGAAGTTTCTCAGTTTCAAAACTGATGCAAGAGGTTCCGATTACAAAGACTTTTTGCAAAAGTTTGCGTTTCAATCTTTAGAGCAGCCACGGAATCAATTGTCTGTATTGATTTTATATCAATTGTTGCATGGTCAAGTAGACTGTCCCCAAATTCTCTCACTGTTGCAATTTCTGGTGCCGCAGTTAGCTTCACGAGCTAGTGTTCCTTTTTTCTGTCAAAGAGCACAGACTAACTTATTATCAAAAGCACCAGATAATATGATGAGTAACAATGCCAATAAAATTGCTAACGACTGTGACATTTTTGGTTGCAATTATAATGAGATAAGGAATAAGACACGTTTTCTAAGTTAAGACTTACCATTTTATATATATATATATATACAGGGTGACTTGGAAGTTGAGTCATTTATTTTAACAGTGAGTAGATCTGATCAAAAGAAATGTTTTTTTCCTTTAACATTTTGCTGGTAAGATTAAAGTAACAAAGTTATAGCCCTTTAGAAGTTTGAGTACCGCCCTGTCTCAATAATAATATTATGTGCTCGTGTTTGGCAACAACGGATATAATCCGCCTTATCCGTTCATGGAATCGGAAACAAAAAGTGAAAGAATTTGAAACGATGTTTTTACTATAATGTACAATTTTATTCAGTTGTATTCAGTCTATGTGTCAGTCGGTAACGCGTGAGTGAATAGTGGTGTTTGTTGCGTGGCTCAAACGAAATAAAAAATGACACATGTTTACGAAAATGCTGAATGTAGTACAAAGGGCTCGTAAATCAGGTGACTTAAGACCTCACAGGGGAGGGCATGCCGGTGCTCCAAGACCGCACGATCAAATACAGGTCCGCACTGAAATACTTGTCAGGGGGATACTTTATAAAACAAGGTAACATTTTTTTTTAATTTTTTTTTTATTTTTACACACATATTTTGGTTTATTTTCCTTCTACAATCATTATCTAAAATTAATGACTCAACTTCAAAGTCACCCTGTATATATACTTAATACCTTTAAGCTAACTTTTATTTTTATAAATTGCTTTGTTATTGGCGATAAGCTGCTGGGCAATAAAGGCTTATTATTATTATTATTATTATTATTATTATTATTATTATTATTACTCGACAAAGTTTACCCAAGTTATGAAAAAAAATATTTTGTAATATCCTAAAAACGGTCTGTACTTTCACTATAATCTCACGTGAAAAAAGCACTGATTATCTCTGTCGAACTTTGCGAAGGTAAAAGGGTTTGAGCAGAGATATGTCGTGTCCGGATTGTATGTTGTACCCCTTCATAAAGAATTCATGGAGGTTTCTTAATGTCCTCGACCTGAGGCTACCTGATACAGATATAAATTATGCAACAACCAACCGGGCCAAAGCTACACACACGATTTCTCGGAAGGAAATACGATGGACCACCGTTTCGCGACATCGCGAGTCTTTTGTTTATACAGAGCATTTTCACGAACTTCATGCTGACTCCACTTTTAATTGTGCAGAAAAGAAGGATCCCACTGAACGATGCAGGAGTTCCCTAACACAGTCTGAAATCTCTATGGCATAATTGGACAATCGATGATCTGACTCTTTTTTCACTGGTATACCAGTAGACCAGGGAGTTTTTTCACATCTGATTTGTTTTTTGCTTAATCTTATCCTGTTTAAGGAATTTGCGTGGTATTTGCAGATATTATTAATAAATGATTTACTCTTGAAAACTTTACCATCCTGTATCTCAAAAGTTCAAACGTTTAGAATAGAATGAGAAACAGAATCTTCTTTAGTTCGGAAGACCGTCAGTTAATGGTATTGAACATGTCAGAAAATATAATACTACAGTAAAAGTTGTAACATAATACAGGGTGGCCCATAAGTCCTTTAAGCTGGAAAAAAAGGAATAAAACCAAACTAGTTA